CGAGGAGCTGCTCGAGGGAAACTCTGCTCCGAGGCCCCGGGAGTCGCCCCCGGGGACTGCCGAGGGATGAGACCCTTGTGTGAGTGTCCGAATCTCGCCGGGATAGAGGGCGGCAGGGGGATGGGAAGAGGAGCCGTGTGCCCGAATTACTTGAAATTCGGGATTCTGCTCTTCCCGGTGCCTTGATTTCGGTCGGTTCAGTTTTCTGCTGGAGCGCTTGCGGTAAATCTGTGCCGCCCGGTGCCGGGATGCGGCTCCGCTCTCGGGGGGGGAGCGCTGGGAGATGCTCCCGCCCTCAACAGGTGCCTCGGCTCCCGCAGCAGCGAGTTACACCCTAAACCCATCCCTGGAAAGGGCTGAAAAGTGGATTTTCCCGGCGGGAAGAGCCCTGGATCGAAAGGCTTCAGGGAGGAAACACGGAGTGGGGAATAAGGCTGCCGTGGCCTCGATTGCGGAGGGGCCGTTTGGAGCATCCCCTGGGACAGCAGGAAGGACAGAGTGTGCCGGGCCTGGTGCTCCTGGAGATCCAGGGATTGGGCTGGAAATAGTTACGGCCTGGTTTAAGGAGAATTTGGCTCAAAGGGAATTTCCTCAGTGCAGCTGCCGAGAGGACCAAGTTTATTGTCGGTGCTCCAGAGCAGATCCTTAGAGAATCCCTGTCATTCCTGGGAGCAGAGGAATTGATAACTAGGAGGGATGATGATGATGATGGGGCAGAGCCTGGATTTGGTGAAGCTGCTGCTTTTGTGTTGGAGACTTTTTCAGCTTTTATCCCTCTTGGAAGTGTCATTCCAGTGGGTTCCTCAGCCCCAAGCTCAGGATGATCTGGGTGTTGGGAGGAGCCTGACTGTGTCTGGAGCACCGGGAAGCTGTTGGAGTTCTGGAAAACAGGATAAAGCCGTTATTTGAAGCACTGAAGCTTTATAAAAGCAGGATGACTTCTGTAACTCTCACTGTGACTCTCAGCCTGCCCTGACTCCTGAAGCAGCAATGTGGTTTTAGGAACCCTTTTTCCCAGCTGGAAAAGCTCTGCTTGCAGGGATCATGTGCTGTCCTTTTGGGTTGTGCCAGAACTCTGCTGGAGGCTCCTGACCCTGCAGTTCCCGGGATGGTGAATCTCCCTGGAGAGCTGCTCGTACCAGGAGGTGTGACCACAGTGCCACATCCGGCCTGGCCGCAGCTGCCTGTCCCATCTGTGTCCCAAATATCCCTGTTTTTCCCTCTCTCAGACTTCCTCCTGCACCCACAGCACCCTTCCTTCAGGCTGAGGGAGCCTCGGAGCTCGTGGGGTGTCCTGCACCATCAGTTTTATCGGGAATAACTGGGCTTTGGGCTTTGCTGATGGAGGTTCTGTGACGGTGGTGATGCTGATGATGATGAGCCAGGTTGATTCCCACCCTGGATGAGGCAGGAGCTGTGTGGTCCATGCAGCCTCTGGTGGGAGCTTAGTGAGCACAGCACAGGTGTCAGGTCAGGTCGGGTTCAGCGCGGTCCCGCTAATCCCGGCGCGGCTGTGCCGGCGGCGTTAGGTAACCTGCCGGGCCGGGACCGGGGTGTGGGATGGGATGGAGGCAGCTCCCACCGTCCTGGGGAGCAGGAGGAAGCCAGGAACCTCCTCCAGGACCTTCAGGACCTGCTTGCTTGGAGCTGAGCCATGGGAGAAGCTCATTTTCCTCATCCCTGCTCCGTTAGGGCTCAGGTTGGGGCTGTTCCTCCGTCCCACCTGTGGGTCCTTCCATGGGCCTTTCCCTGGAGCCAGGGGTGCTGCAGGTGTCCCCAGTGTCCCCCTCCTTAGCCCTGAGCGCTGCCAAATTCCAGGGATTTGGGGGATTTGGGTTTGGGGGTTCCATACACGTCCACTGGCCACTCTGCTCCTGCAGCTTCCCAGTGATGGGAGCAAAAAACATCAGGGTGGGTCTGGCAGGATCAAACCTCCCGTGGATTTGGGCAGCTCCTGCCTCACCTGCAGGTCCCCAAGGGCTCTGGGGGTCCAGCCTGGGGGTCCCTGTGTCCCCACAGGGCCAGGGTGTGGCAGAGGGGCCGGGCAGGGAGCAGAGCCCTGGGAGTGGAGTCCTGGCTCCCGACTCAGTTCCTGCAAAACATCACGTGGCAGATCCGGGGGAGAGACGTCAGAGTTTGCTGCTCCTAAAATATTTCTGGAAGTACCTTTATAAACACCCTGGAGCCGCTGGTCATGGCTGACCTGGAGTTGGGATTTGGCCCTTGCAAAGACATTTATTTTCTGTTTCTGCAGCAGATGTTCAGCACGATGGAAATCTGACAAAATAAGGGAACTAAAGCCCCATAAATCCAGATCCTGAAACTTCCAGTGGATCCGGTTTTGCTGCTCCTCAGTTGGTTCCGGTGAAATGCTTCAGCTCAATGTTTTTGGTGGTTTATTTCCCCCCATGGTGGAGCTGAGGGACACTGAGCTCTTGGACCTTGTGTCCTCTGGAATTCCTCCCTCAGTCTCCTAATTCCCCTGATGGCATCTGGGCAGGGAGTGTGGTCCTGCCCCTGCAGGGCTGGGATGCTCTGGGATGCTCCTGCTGAGTCCCTTCCCAGACCTGGCACTTGGAGTTGCTCTGGAAGAGGCCTTGAGGGAGTGGCAGCTCTGGGGGGTTTTATGACTTTCCCCTTGTTTTAGGTGGGTGTTCAGTGTTAGAGGTCTGAATTCCTGTTGGGAAGGGTTTGCAGGCTGCAGGGATTGACTGAACCCGGCTTTTCCCACCGCCTGGAAGGCTGGAGGTCGGTGTTAGTGCCAGGAGGGTCCATTGGAACGTTGGGATGAGGCTTTCCCTCTGTTCCCATGGGGGTGTGACCACGGAACAGTTTGGGTGAGGCTCTGGCTCCTTCTGGTCCGAGCAAGAGGTGACTCTGGGATAGCTGATCCATTGGGAGTCTCGCTGTGCTCAGGCCCTGGGAAGGTGTGGGGGGATATTTGTTAAAATTTGCTAAAAATCCTACTGATGTGTCCTGCAGAAAACTGCCAGGATCACCGGGATCGCAGGAGCGACCAACCTTAGTCCTAAATGCACCTTTTCCCCATTTTTCTGGTTGGAATGTGCCAGGAATGCTCACTCTGGATTCCATCCAGCCGGGATCCATCCCGGGGACTTTGGGGTCTGCTCGGCGCGTGTTCCGTTGCCGGGGGATGGATTCGAAGTTGTGCATCTCCTGGGGCTTGGATTTCCTGTCTGGGCTTGGATTTCCAACCTGTTCCAAAAGGAGGGAAGAGGAGAGGGCGCTTCCCTTCCCCAGGGAAAGGAAATAATCACTAACACTGGGGTGGGGCCGTTTCTCCGCCCGATCCCCGATAAATCTCCGACAGTCCATCGCTGCCTCGTCGGACCCGGAGTTTTCCAGCTGTGTTTTCCCCGGCGTTTTTGGGCGCGAGGGAGTTCGGAATGCCGTGGATGAGGGGGGTGGGCTGTGCTGCTCATTCCCTCCCCAAACCTCCGCCGAGTTTCCATTTTCCTTCGGATTCCAAACCCACCCGCGGGGAGTTCGACCCGTTATCGCAGCAGTTCCACCCCGGAGCCGCTCGCTGCTCCTGCAGCTCCTGCCAGAGATTACGGGATCCTAATTAAGGACGTTGCCTAAATTGGTGGGGCGAGAGCAGGAATTGCTGCCAGATCCCGCTCCCGGAACGCTCCGGGCTTTGGTGTCGCTCCTTCCGACGCGGCTCCGGGATCGCTCCGGTGGTGGAGGAGGAAAACGGAGGAGTTTTTCTGGGGGCAGGAAGTTGATGATGACACCACTGTGAGAGAGTGGGGATGGTGTTTCCCCAGTAAAGCCAGGAAATTCCAGGTTAAAACCTGGATGTTTAACAGGGGAGCTGGGTGCCCTTAGGGAATTTCACCCATCCTCAGGGATAATCTTGGAAAGAGACACCGGGGTGTTTTGTGCTTCCTGAAAAGAGACACTTTCAATGCTCAGGGAATTTTGTTCATCTTTAGGGATAATCCTGTAAAAGAGATGTTTTTTCCCAAGCACCTGGAAAACAACCAGGTTTGTTTGTATTCCACATGATCCCGAAATTTCCTCTTTTATTCCCAATACACCAGCACCTCCCTCTCCAAGCCTTCCCAATTCTTTTTCCCTCCTCTTCCAAATTTTTGGCTTGGGGTGAATTCTTTTCCTGGCAGTTTCTGTTCCTTGATGGCAGAATTTTTATCCCAACCTTGAACTGCAGAGCCCCAAATCCGGCGGAGCACTTTGCCTGTCTCCCTTTCCCTTTCCCCCTCTGCCCCGAGGAATGCGGAAAATCAGGATTCGGAGGCATGGCAGGAGCACACGCCTTCCCCAGGCTCAGAAACTGCCAAAATCCAAAGTTACAGAATAGATCTTTGGTTTTGCTGCCTTCTGGGAAGGAGCTCTGGATTGGGAAGGAGGCTGGGAAGGAGCTCTGGGTTGGGAAGGAGCCTGGGAAGGAGCTCTGGGTTGGGGAGGAGCTCTGGATTGGGAAGGAGCTCTGTCTGGACATTTATTTTCCCTGCAAGAACAGTTGGGGTTTTTTCTTTGGTTTGGGTTTCGTTTTTTCTTTTTGCCTGGAAGGAGATTTTTAAGATTTATTTTCCTTAGGACACATCTCCTAATTCCAGCATTTTGGCTTTGCTTCCCCTTCCCTGGCACGCAGCTCAGAGCGGGATGGGGCAGGGATTTGCTCCCTGCAAATGTCCGAGAGGAACTTCCTGCTTTCTCACTGCTCCCAAACATTCATTTCTTATATCATTTACTCCCAGCTCCTTATCCCTAATACAGAAAAAAAAGCTCCACCACCTTTGAGATGAGAACTGGGTTTAGTTCCTGAATTTTCCAAGGAAATGCCCGTCTCTGGCCCATCTCTACAGCGAAATGGGCGTTGCTCTCCCAGTTCCCAGTGAGTGAACAGGCAGTCCTGGAGCACAGTTAATTCTAGGGGGGAGGTTTATGGCCTGGCTCCTCGTTTTATCCTCCACCACACGACCCATGGGCGCTGTTGGTGTCGTTCCCAGATTGATGCCGAGCAGCCGATCCGGCGCCGCCGACCCCGTCCGTGCGCGGCTCCATGAGCCACGGCCTCGGCTATGGACATCGTCCTGTCGGATTTTGTTCGCTCAACGGGGGCAGAGCCGGGGCTGGCCAGAGACCTCCTGGAAGGTAGGAAAGCTGGGAATAACTGGGGAAGAGCCAGGGATGGCTGGTGGGGAGGGAAAAAGGGTCGGGAAGAGGGGCTGGAGCTGCAGGGCTGGGATAGGAAAATCCTGCCCTGGGGACGCTCTGCCTCGGTTTCTCCTCACACATCCCTTGGGTGATGGATTGCAAACGTTGGGAAGGAAAGGGCAGCAACCAGGAGGGTGGATTCCCTTCCTCCATCCTCTCCGTGTGCCACCACAAGCAGCACAACTGAAGGGTTTTTTTTTCTTTCTGTCAGCAGTGCCTTGAAAAAATCAAGGATTTTTCTCCTTTATGTCAGTGATATCTTAAAAAAATGATGCTTTTTCCATTTTAGCAGCAGTGCCTTCAAAAACTTTAGGATTATGGTTCTTTCCAGTGGCACCGCCTCCTGAAGGGAGGGATCATTGTGATCATGTTCAGTGGGTGCTGCAGGTGATCCCTTTCTCCCTGTGCTCCCAGTGGTGGGAAGGGTGCAGGAGGAAGGATCCCAGCTCAGTTTTGGGGCTGTGAAGGTGCTCATGGGCATTGCCTTTGGGTTCATGTTGGCCAGTGAGTCAATCCTGGGAATGCTGGGGGACACAGACACTGTGTGTGCAGAATTATCCCAGCTGGAATTAGAGCAACAGGCCCCCCTGCCCGAGTTTCTTCCCATCATCCCTGGTTTATGCCATTCAGCTCATTTTTGCTGTTGCTTGAACCCAGGAGCAGCTGCTGCAGCAGCACCTGCTCCCAGCTGGGATTCCTGGCAGGAAGGAGTTCAAAGCCCTGAAATTGGTGCCAGAATCCAGGTCTTTAGGCAATTTTCTCCACCTTAGCTCGGCGCTGGCAGCATCAATCCGTAGCTTTATTTTTCCTCTTTAAACTCTCAATAGTGGCAGGTTTCAGGGCTTCACCCCTGGAATTTCGGGAGCCCAGCGTCGCCCTGGTGGAATTGGGGCGAGTCGTGGGTTTGGGTGTGTCTGAGTTCTGGTTCCTGGGTTTTGGGTCACTTGGCCTCACCTCAGGATTTCAGATCCTGTCTGTCAGGGGGAATATTTTGGTTTGTGATGGGAAAGGTTGAGTGGATTTTCCGTCCAACCTCCCCCCTCCCCCCCATTCCTGCTTGCTGCAGGAGTTGATTTATTTTGACAACGGCCCTTCCAGCTCGTTTTGGTGACGCTGCTGTTTCTCCGGCAGCCTCGGAGGAGCTGACAGCTGCAGGGGGGTGGGAATGAGGGAAAACACAAGGATTTTCCTTTTTTGGGTGGCATTAGTGAAGCAGTCGGATAAATAGATGCATAAAGTGAAGTTTGAGGGCGAGGTGAGCGCTTTAAGTCGTGTTTTTCCGTCTGTGCTTTGAGTTCCCTCCACGTGTCAACTGTCTGGTGGCAGCGACAGGTCTGGCGGATCGTGGAACCGTGGAGTGGGTTGGCTCATCCTGTTCATGACAGGGACACCTCCCACGAGACCAGGTTGCTCCAAGCCTTGAACACTTCCAGGGATGGTCCATCCACAGCTTCCCCGGGCAGGCTGTGCCAGGGCCTCCCCACCCCGCGCTCGGTTTCCCAGCGGGACGTTCAGGACCTGCCCGTTTTTCCGTGTTCTGCGAGGGTGACCGGTCCAATCCCTTCCCGCGCAGGCAAGAACTGGGACCTGAGCGCGGCGCTGAGCGACTTCGAGCAGCTCCGGCAGGTGCACGCCGGGAATTTGCCGCCTTCCTTCAACGAGGGCCGCGGTGCCCGGCCCCCGGAGCGCGGGAGGCGGCACGGCCGGGCCGGCGCCCCTGCAGCGCCAGGATGACGTCGTGCAAGGTCGGTGTCCCACAGCTGGGGGGTCCCTCAAACCTCCTCCTGCGCCACCACATCTGTGGTGGCTTCCGTGGGGTTTGCCCCGCTCAGGTGGGTTTCCTCTTTTCCCCCCCCCAGAGAAGCGCCTGTCCCGGGGCATCTCCCACGCCAGCTCCACCATCGTGTCCCTGGCGCGTTCCCACGTCTCCAGCAACGGCGGCGGCAGCGAGCACCTGCTGGAGATGCCCATCTGCACCTTCCAGCTGCCCGACCTCACCGTGTACTCCGAGGAATTCCGCAGCTTCATCGAGCGGGATCTCATCGAGCAGTCCATGCTGGTGGCACTGGAGCAGGCCGGTGAGTGCTGGCTCTGTGCTGGTGGCAGTGGGACCCTTGGGAACACCCCAGGATGTCACACGGATTCATATCCGACAGGGAGTCATTCCATCCTTTTTATGGCCTGGTGCAAGGGCTGAGGAGGAGCTGCTTCCTTCGCCCAGGGACACCGAGTGTAAATAGCCCAGGGCTGTTGTCACCACGCACAGATGAGTGGGGACACCCAAAAGCTGGCATTGTCTCACTCCTGGAGCATTCCAGTGCCCTGCTCCATCCATCCAGGGAAAAGGGAATTCCTGTGTAACACAGACAGCAGCTCATCCTGCTGACAAATCCAGGATTGATTTTGGACACAAGGTCGATGCTGCTGCTCCAGCACCCACTGGTTCACTGTGTGCCTGGGGAGGAACCCCCTGCCAGGGCACATGGATTTGCTTTCCATCGGTCTCCTGAATTTAGATTTACAGCTCCCAGGGGATCTGTAAATAAGGTTGAGCTGGGGAATGGGCAGGACCTCCGTGTTGGCAGGGAAAAACCCCATCCCTGGCACCAGGACACAGGAGGGGTCTCAGGAGGGTCTGCACCCCCAGTTGTTCCCATGGCTGCTTCACACACTGTTATCCTCGAGGATAACAGACACTTGGAGTGCCCAACCTCTCCCTCTCCTGCTCAGGTGTTGCTGTAACAAATATTCTCATGTTTTGGGAATGAGCACCTGATCCCAGCGATCCCGTTACACGGCACCGGTGCAGATAAACCCCGGATCCCACCCCAGCAGGCTCGGGGGCTTGGGTTCCTGTGTCCCAGCACGAAGGGGGTGAGGGGGCTGGGGGTGGCTGGGTGCTCCATCCGTGGGCTGGGGGCGCTTCCAGGCACGCTGGGACACCATTAACTGGAAGGAATTTAGAAGACGCCTTTGGGAGACTCTGTGGGTTGTTATAAACGAGTGTTTGTCTGCAACAAAGGGCTGTAATGCAGCTATGAAATATTCCAAGCTGGATTCCAAGTAGGGTTTCGAGCGTGGTGCTGCGATCTAGGGAGACTCCCGTTATTAATTTAGCACGTGCCGTCCTTAGGGGACTAAGGAAATGTTTTATAGCCCAATAAATGTTCAGATCCTCTCCCTGTGCATCCAGAGATCCCGTTACACCACTGTGGCAGAGTAAGTGCTTCCAAAGTGGCCGTAAATTGCAACGGGATCCTCTGGGAATGCCTTGAATGTGCTCAGAGTGGTGTGGAAAGGTCTTGGTAGAGCTGAAACCTCAGCCCTCGCCGTAGCCTTGGTGTCCTTTGGCACAAACCCTCGTGGATCAGGCCTTGCCCTGTGCTGGGAAGCTGCAGAGTGGGTTCAGTCGTGGCACTGAACCTGGGACACTCCCTCATGTGATCACACAGTGATCCATGAGAGTGGATTCCCGGTAGCCTTAGGGGAGCCATTTGGGTTTTGGATGAGACAGTTCTCATTTTGGGCTGGGAGGAGCTGCCAGTTCCTCCCCACTGCCGTGACCTGTTCGGGTGGCTCCTGTTGGAAGAAACGATGGGATTTCCCCAAACACACCTTTGGGTGCAGGTCCTGATCTGGTGTTCTGTGGGGTGACACTGGACCCCGCAGGGCTGTGGTGCTGGACGCAGAGGGAGCCGCTGGATGCTGACGGATTTTCCCGGCGTGCAGATCTGCCACCGCCGCTCTGGGAAGATCCCTCGTGCTCCTGAACCCGGTTGTCTTCCCTGCAGAGCTCTCAGGGGTGTTTCCTAAGAACCACACGCAGAGAAACGTGTTGTTTTCAATCCTTCTGGGCGGCCTCTCGGCCTTTCCGCCGCCTCGACGGGAGCAAAACATCGGGAGCAGGGTTGGGCTGCGGTTCCTTTGGAGACGACTTCTCTTGCATAACCAGAGTGGCTACAAACACTCGGGCCCAGAAATACCTCCCCAAGGTGTGTCCCCTGGCATGGCACCCAGCCAGAGGTTGCACAACCTCCGAAATGCCAACCCAGACTCCCAACTCCACGGAAAGGGGCATCAGATGCTCCAGGAACAGGGGGGGGGGAAGTGGATCAAAGGGGTCCCTCGGCAGCGTTTCGGGGGTGGGGGCAGCTGCTGTGAGGCGCCGCCTTCGCTCCCCTGGCCCTGGGCCACTTGGCCAGGCTCCTGACTCGGCCGTGCCAGGAGCTGTGTGGAGGGAACAGCCGGCTTTTCCAGGCGGAGCCGTTGTCCCCGGGCTCGCTGTGGAACCCTTCCAGCTCCAGCGGGTCCCTCTCCTGGCGCAGGGGACAGGAACGACCCACCTGCGTCACACCGGGCTCGTGGGGTTGTGTTTTCTCGTGTCTAGGGGTGTTTAAACCCCAGTTTTCTGCGCTTAGCTCCTCCCTGAGGCTGTGCAAACCATTTCCAGCAGTCCCGTGTCTGCATGTCGGGGTCTCTGGCAGGGACCGGGCCAGGAGGAGGGAGAGGCTCCTTGGAAACGCTGGGAAAGGGCTGGTTTCCTGCAGGAGCAATTTAAATACAGCTTGCTGGAAGCCTGAACAGCCTTTTCCAGCCAAAAACCTGCCTGTTGCACGGGATCCAAAAACTACTGGGGAACGAGGCAGCCAAGGAGGGGTGTTGAGGGCAGGGCAGGGTGAGACACAGCCTGGGGGGTTCAGAGTCCTGATCCAGCCCCACTTTGCTCCCTCAGGAAGGGCTGGACCTCCAGGCTGAGCCTCCAGCCACGCTGGGCTCGCTGGGCATTTTTTCCTACCTTCTATTTTTAGCTGCTCTCGAGTCAAATCACCACAATGACCCAAAACTCGCGGTTTAAAGGGCACAAAGCGCCGTCAGTTTGTGTTTGTAGCGGGAAAGCTGCTGGGGTCAGCAGAAATCCTGGACTGTTCTGCCTGGAAACCAGTGAGCAGGGAAAACCAGGCTGTGAGAGGGTCGAAACTGGAGGGATTTGGTTCCAAGAGGCAGAAAAAAGCTGGTTTTCCCTGGAGAAGCTGTTTGTGCCAGGTGCTCCGGGAGGCATTTTCAGCCTGGTGGGCTTTTTGGGGAGTGAAATAAGAGGGGTGGGGGAGAAATGAGTAGAGGAGGACTGGTCTGGGTGGAAGTCCTGTCTCCTATTCCTGTTTAATTCTGATTTGGGTGACCCTGTTCAGCCTGGCCCTTTCCTGGCATCCCCTGGAAGTTTTACAGCTCCAACCTCCCCTTTTCGTTGCTTTGTCAACGTCCTGACTCTTCCCCCCAGCCCTGGCACGGGTCTGTCCCTGCTCCCCAGCCCTGGCACGGGTCTGTCCCTGCTCCCCAGCCCTGGCACTGGTCTGTCCCTGTTCCCCAGCCCTGGCACGGGTCTGTCCCTGCTCCCCAGCCCTGGCAGCCCTGAGATAGGTCTGTCCCTGCTCCCCAGCCCTGGCACTGGTCTGTCCCTGTTCCCCAGCCCTGGCACGGGTCTGTCCCTGCTCCCCAGCCCTGGCATGGGTCTGTCCCTGCTCCCCAGCTTGTTCAGCTGGTTTTTGTCCTCATTGGTGGAAATTTTGGAGGGGTTGAGCCCCCCAGTGCTGTGCTGTGCTGTGGTTTCATGCTCTCCCACATTCCCCAGGGCGCCTGAACTGGTGGGTGACGGTGGATCCCAGTTGCCAGCGGCTGCTGCCCCTGGCCACCACCGGCGACGGGAACTGCCTCCTCCACGCCGCCTCCCTGGGTAAGGCTGGGCTTAATCCATGGGGAAACAACCAACTGGCCCTGGGGGCAGAGCCCAGGTGGGAGCAGGACCCAGCATCTCCCATCCATTCCCGTGGGAAACGGGGATGCTGCTGCTCCTCCCGGCCTCAGCGACGTCAGTGGGGGGCTCAGGCTCTATGGGAGCGGGATGGGTTGAAGGGAAGGAGCTGCCAGCAGCTTGTGTGCTCCTCAGATCCCTCTCCCTGTCCATCTGGCAAGATTCCCCAGAATCCTGAAGGAAATGTGGGATAACGGAGCCGCCCCTTCCCTCACCCGGCACGTCTGCCCGGGCCGTGGGACCTCAGCAGGTTGGAGGGTGTGATACCAGCCCCTCCTGATCCTCCTCTCCGTCCTTCCCCCTGCAGGAATGTGGGGCTTCCACGACCGGGATCTCATGCTGCGGAAATCCCTCTACACCCTGATGGACAAGGGAGCGGAGCGGGAGGCGCTGAGGCGGAGGTGGCGCTGGCAGCAGACGCAGCAGAACAAGGAGGTGGGAGCCGACTGAGCGTCGGTTTGGGCCCTCTTTGCCAAGGAGAAAGTCCTGGGGAAAACACCCCCTGGGTTTGGGAGGGGCTCTCCTGTCAGGTGTGGAATTTTTGGGCAGCTCCCCTGAGGTGTGTCCTGCAGTCAGAGCTGCGTCAAACTGAGAGGGGCTTGGGGCGAGTGGCAGGGCAGGGGAAAGGGTTTAAATTAAAACAGGGCAAGTTTGGGGTAGTGCTGGGGAGAAATTCTTCCCTGTGAGGGTGGTGAGGCCCTGGCACAGGTTGCCCAGGGAAATGTTCAAGTGTTCCATCCCTGGAAGTGTTCAAGGCCGGGTTGGACAGCGCTTGGAGCAACCTGGACTAGGGAGAGGTGTCCCTGCCACGAAGGGGATGAGCTTTAAGGTCCCTCCTAAGCTGCTGCCTTGAGGAAAGGTGGATTTCCTGAAGCCAACCCCTGCAGCAGGCTTTAGACATTTGTGCCATTGGACCAAACCAACATATCCTGCAGCTAAAGCCTGCTGGGATGGAGGTGCCCTCAGGGCTGTGCCAGCCGGGGCTGTGCCCCACTTTCAGGGACGTGGTGTGGAACACGTTGATTATTTTTGCATAAATCCGTAAAGAAAAGTTGTGCTGTGGGTATAAACCAGCGCTGGAGCGACTGGGGAGAGATTTCCTTGGAGGATTTTGGGTTCTCTTTGCCCTTTTTTTTTCAGTCTGGGCTGGTGTACACGGAGGAGGAGTGGCAGAAGGAGTGGAACGAGCTGATCAAGTTGGCGTCCAGCGAGCCCCGCGTTCACTACGGCACCAACGGCGGCGGCTGCGGCGGGTGCGTGAGTGCCCAGAGGCAACAACGCAGCCAGGGGGAAAACAGGGAATGTCCTCCCTCAGAGCACAGCTCGGGGTGGTGCCCCAGGGCAGGGGACAGGCCTGGGGGGCCGTGTTGGGCCGGCTCGTTGGGGTTTCGGGGGGAAAAGGAAGGATCAGGAGGAAACTCGAGGCCCACAGAGCATCTGAGGAAAGGATTTCGGTGCTGCACGGCCTCTTCTGTGGGGCAGCACACGGATTGAACAGGGAGTGCATCTTTTCCTCGTGTTTCCTCGTGTTGCTGGCTCCGAAATCAGGGAATAACCCAGAGCTGAGAGTTTCTGCCTCTCGCTCTGTTTCAAGGGCACTTCACTGCTGCAGCCGTCCTGGCAGCTCCCACCTGGGAGGCCCCTTAGATAAGGGACTCCCAGCAGTGCCAGGCAGCAGCTGGGCATTTCCTGGGCACAAACCCTTGCCTTGGAGCAGGACATTTCAGGGATCCACATCTAAAACCCCAAATTAGCACTGAGATCAACCTTTAGCGCTGTCGATCCACCTCTCCGTGGCCGCCTCTGAAGCTTCCTCCTGGTGTTACAAAACAATGATTGAATATCCAGAAGGTGAAATTCTTCTTCCCCAAGGGTGGAGAGCTCAGAAGAGCCGGTGTATGAGAGCCTGGAGGAGTTCCACGTCTTCGTCCTGGCCCACGTGCTGAAGAGACCCATCGTGGTGGTGGCAGACACGATGCTGCGGGACTCAGGGGGTGAAGGTGAGACCTGCCCTGTCTTCCCAAAGCCTCTCAGACCTGTCTGTGCTCAGAGTCCACCTTTCCTCTCAATCCCAAGGGCTCTTTGCCCCCGAGGCCGGGTCTGGAGTTGGGAGCAGCACACGGGGCACGTTCACCTGCTGCAGGTGAACCCCTGGAAGGGCCCGGGCCCAGCTCAGCTCCCAGCCCTGTTTCTGCTGCTTTAAGAGCATCCCCATGAGGATTTTTCTTTTTTCTACCTCTTTTGCCCCACACACATGTGTAGAGATGGGAAATTCTGTTCCCTGTGTGGTGGATTTTCCACCATCACCTTCAGTTCCCTGTCAGAGAAGGTCAATCGTTTTCCATCACTCCATGGACAAAGTTTGTCTTGTGGGGGAGTGAAGAGGGTTTTTTTTTATAGAAAATACCAGTTCACTCTGCATTTTCCACCCTCCTGATGTAAAATAAATGTCTGGTTTGGGTTGTGGTTTTGTTTAATGTCCCTTGAAATGACGGATAATTGCAGGTGAGACCTTGACTGAGGCGAACGGCTCATTCTGGAGCAGTTGTGGCGCAAACAGCTCTGAACTCTTGAACCTGTGATCAGAACTAACCACCCTGGTTTCTTCCCAGCATTCGCCCCGATTCCCTTTGGAGGGATCTATCTGCCCCTGGAAGTCCCAGCCAACAAATGCCACCGGTCTCCGTTGGTTCTGGCTTACGACCAAGCCCATTTTTCTGCCCTGGTCTCCATGGAGCAGAAGGAAAACACAAAGGATCAAGGTAGGGGATGAGATCCAGGTGAAAAAAGCACTGAAGGAGTCCCGTGGAGGAGGATTTGGGGATGCCGGGGGGGAAAAGCTGGGCAGGACCTGGCAACATGCACCAGCAGCCCAGGAAACCAACAGTGTCCTGACCTGGGAGCCCTTCCAGTGCCTAAAGGGCCTCCAGGAGCTGAAGAGGGACTTGGGACAAGGACATGGAGTGACTGGACAAGGGGCAGTGGCTTCCCACTGACAAAGGGCAGGGTTGGATGGGATATTGGGAAGAAATTCCTCCCTGGGAGGGTGGGGAGGCCCTGGCACAGGTTACCCAGAGAAGCTGTGGCTGCCCCATCCCTGGAAGTGTCCAAGGCCAGGTTGGACAGGACTTGGAGCACCCTGGGCTAGTGGGAGGTGTCCCTACCCATGGCAGGGGGTGGGACTGGATGAACTTTAAGGTCCTTCCACCCCAGACCTTTCCGTGGTGCTCTGCCAATTCCATGATCCCAAGCACTGGCAGTCACTGGGATTTGCTGTGGTGCTGTTCCCCTCAGAAAGGTGGGCTGTGACTGTGGGATATTTGTCCTTTTGGGCTGTGAACGTGGTGTTTCTGTCCCGGGGCAGCCGTGATCCCTCTGACGGACTCCGAGCACAAGCTGCTCCCGGTGCACTTCGCTGTGGATCCCGGGAAGGAGTGGCAGTGGGGGAAGGACGACAGTGACAACGTCAAACTGGCCAGGTGGGGGATCCAGGGTGGGGATCCATAGGGAATCTGGGTTGGTGATCCATAGGGAATCTGGGCCGGTGATCCACGGGGGATCCAGGGTGGAGATCCATAGGGAATCTGGGTCGGTGATCCACGGGGGATCCAGGGTGGAGATCCATAGGGAATCTGGGTTGGGGATCCAGGGTGGAGATCCGTAGGGAATCTGGGTTGGTGATCCACGGGGGATCCAGGATGGGGATCAACAGGGGATCCAGGATGGGGATCCACAGAGGGTCCAGGTGGTCCACAGAGCAGAGTGGTCAGGGCTGGAGGGGTCAGCCCTGACCCCAGCTGGGATTTCTTCTGCTGGATGGAGATTTGGCTTAGGGGATGACACTGCTCGTGGGGATGGGGCAGCTTTTCCTTCATTCTCCTTCACTTTGGTACGTTTTGGGTGGGGCTGTGACATCTCCTGAGCTTCCTTCCCACATGGTAAAGAGATGATGCTCCAGGTCCTGGAGCTCCAGGTGTAGCAGTGGAGGATCTTCCATCATATTTCCACAAAAAAAGGTGTATTTTTCCATTCCCAACCAAATCCCTGTGCCGTGGGCCCCTGGAGAGGGGAGAGTGGTGGCCACCAGGCCCTGCCTGGCTCGGGTTGGACTTTGGGCAGGTCTCACCATGGTTTGGTCCCAACAGCTGCTGTTGCTGAGGCAGAGGAAGCGTTTTAATTTCAACACTTGAGAATCTGATTTCTCCCTTTGGTGTTCCACTGAAAAGTTTGGAAAGCTGCAAAAACACAGGGAATAATGTAAATACGGGGGAAACCCAGGTGGGAATTGGAAACTGGGCTCTGACTTGTGTTTCCCTCCCCTCTCCACGGTGACACCAGCGTGACGCTGTCGCTGGAGGCCAAGCTGCACCTGCTGCACAGCTACATGAATGTGAGGTGGATCACGTTGCCTTGTGACACGCAGGTAAAGGGACCAGGAGGATCTTCTTTACCTGTGAATTATTTTACCCTCCTCTCCGCAGGGCAGCTGGTGTGGGGCCTCACCTGGGGGGCTCTGCCTGCCGGATTTGCAGCTGGTTCTGCTCTGAGCAGGGAAGTGACTCGGTTTGGTGGGTGTGCACCTCTTTCTCAGAGCTTTCCGTGCCCGTTTTCACTCTTCACACCACCCAGAAGCCCCCGTGCCCCTCAGGGCAGGGAAGGGGATGCTCCATGCTCCAAACAAACAGGAGCTGTTGGTTTACAGCCACCTCGAGACTGGGACCAAGTATCTTCCCCCCTCTTTGCTGGCTTTGCCCCTGAAACCTCGAGCCAGTGGAGATGTTACAGAACCCCAGAATAGAGTCATCAAATCATAGAACAAAATCATAAAGTCCCAGAATATCCCAGGTTGGAAAGGTGCCACGGGGATATCTGTGGGTGTGCAGGGCAGCGTCGCTCGGTGTCTGAACGTCATCCCCTCCGTGCTCTGAGCAACATCACCTCCTTTGCTTGACCTTCCGCGTGAAAATCCTTACCCAAGGAATTCCTAGAGTTTGATATTTGGCTTTCCTTCTTCCCCAGGCTCCTCTGGCCCAGCCGGAATCCCCCACGGCCTCCGCAGGGGACGACGCTCGTTCAGCGGCAGAGTCGGGCGAGTCGGACAAGGAGTCGGTGTGCAGCAGCTCTGCCAGCAACGGGGGCCTGAGGGCAGGCAAGGACAGGGAGAAACCAAAGAAAGAGCGGGAAAAGGAGAAGGAAAAGGATAAGAAACGGGCAGACTCGGTGGCCAACAAGCTGGGAAGCTTCGGGAAGACTCTGGGCAGCAAGCTAAAAAAGAACATGGGGGGCTTGATGCACAGCAAGGCCGTGAAGGGCGGCCTGAGCAACGGGCAGGGAGACACCCTGGAGAAGAAGAAGAAAGGGTCCCTGAAGGCACGGAAAGGCAGCAAAGAGGAATGCTCCCCGGGAGACTTGGCAGCTCCCACGGAGAAGGCGTGCCCGGGGAAAGCGGCCCCGGAGAAGGCGCCGGACCCCTCCAAGTACAGCAGCGACGTGCGGCTGAGCCTGAGCATCCTGCGCGCGGCCATGCAGGGCGAGCGCAAGTTCATCTTCGCCGGCCACCTCAAGACCAGCACCCGGCACCAGTTCCAGGAGGAGATGATCCAGAGGTACCTCCTGGACGCCGAGGAGCGCTTCCTGGCCGAGCAGAGGCAGAAGGAGGCGGAGAAGAAGGCGCTGGGCAGCGCTGCCCCGGCCAAGAAGCCGGAGGGGGACGCGGG